TTTTTTCTGAAATGGAGTTTCACTCTTGTTGCCCAGGCTGGAGTGCAACGGTGCAATCTCGGCTCACTGCAAGCTCCACCTCCCGGGTTCAAGCAATTCTCCTGCTTCAATCTCCCAAGTAGCTAGGATTACAAGCATGCGCCACCACACGGGCTAATTTTGTATTTTTAGTTGAGATGTGGTTTCACTATGTTGGTCAAGCTGATCTTGAACTCCTGACCTCAGGTGATCTATCCACCTTGGCCTGCCAAAGTGCTGAGATTACAGGCGTGAACCACCATGCCCGGCCCTGATCTTTTTAATTTTTTTAAATTAGCATAATTTTGGGCCTACAGGAAAGTTGAAAGAATAGTACAAAGATTCCTATGGTCAGTTGCAGACATAATGCCCCTTTACCACTAAATGCTTCTGTTCTGATTGAGTTTCAAAGTGTTCTATGAATACCGTTAGTTCCCCCACCCAAGGAGTGGGTGTTAAGGAAGGAGTCCTCCTGGCAGGAGTCATATTTTATCACTGACAGTGTTTAGAATCACTGGCACATCGTGATACTAAAAAAGCCACTTTTAGTCAGTTCAGTGACTCTTTTCCAGTCCTTCTCCATTGCTGCCTGCTCCCAAGGCAGGCTGCTGCCACAGCCAATAGATTCTAATGCAGTAAATATTCAGAGGGCGAGGAAGGTCAGAATTACAAAGGGAATAACATTATATTGGAGGAAATAGATCAAAGAGCCTGAAAGTGGTGATGAAATGACTGGTGCATGCATATGGAAGGTGTCTGTCTAGGGTTGGGGTGTTCTTAGGAACAAAGACTGCGGAATTGCAAGGTAAGTGAACAGTGCTGGGCGTATCAACCGCAACTGTTGGACACAGGGAGAGGGGATCGAAGGCAGGCGCACTGAGGACATGTAATGGAGGAGCAGCGCCAGCATGGGCACAGTGGCCTAAAGCTAAGAGAAGGGCAGGTGTGCCAGGCATGGTGGCTCACCCCTGTAATCCCAGCACTTTAGGAGGCCAAGGCGGGTGGATCGCCTGAGGTCAGGAGTTCGAGATCAGCCTGGCTAAGATGGAGAAACCATATCTCAAAAAAAAAAGT